TCCTCAAATTCAGAAGATAGATAACTGTCCTCAAATTCAGAAGATAGATAACTGTCCTCAAATTCAGAAGATAGATAACTGTCCTCAAATTCAGAGTCTTTTTCCCTCTCATTTCCAAAAGGCTACAAAGGCTGTCTAGTAACTTTTTTGGCACAGTCTTTTTAGTTTTCATTTATTAAAAAAATGGTTTCTGTTTGTCTGTGAGTTTCTTTTTTTGGGTTTGGGGTTTTTCTGGGTTTTTTTGGTGGTTGTGGGCCTTGAACTCAAGACCTGGGCACGATCCCTCAGCTCCTTTTGCTCTACCACTTGAGCCACAGCGCCACGTCTGGTTTTCTGGTGGTTGAGATAAAAGTCTTATGGACATTCCTGCCCAGGCTGACTTTGAACCATGATCCTCAGATCTCAGCCTCCTGAGTAGCTAGGATTACAGGCGTGAGCCACTGGTGCCCAGTGAGGAGGTCTCTTTTTTAATTTGGGGCAGACACACTTTCCTTCACACTTTTGGACATAGTTATTATAGTCACTTTAGAATTCTTACCTACCAAGCTATTTGGTCTCAAGGTAAGTTTACCTTGATATGACGGGGGCTTTACCCTGTATCTCCTGTTTCTCCCAGATAATTTCTGCCTCATTTGTTACCATTTTATTCTATTGTCCTCTAATTCTTCAAGCACTTTTGTCATCTCTCTGGACATATTCATAATGTGCATAATAGGCATTGGGCCTGCCCTCAAGCAGTTCCTATTGGTTCCTCCTGAGTTCAGGTCACATACTGTGCCTTTCCTTTGCATGTCATGTTATTTTGGGGTTGCAAATAGACATTTTAGGTCATATAGCAGCTTTGGTCTATGAATTTTACCTGAAGGTTTTGCTGTCATTTAATTTTACTTATTTTTCATTACTAGCTTGTTCTTGGCCTGTCTTCCTTTGCAGTCTTCCTTTGCAGTCTTCCTTCCTTCCTTCCTTCCTTTCTTTCTTTCTATATTTCTTTCGTCAGTTGTGGGCCTGAACTCTGGGCCTGGCCATTGTCCCTCAGCTCGTCAGCTCAAGGCTAGCGCTCTACCACTTAAGCCACAGCTCCACTTCCAGCTTTTCCTGCTTATGTGGTGCTGAGGAATTGAACCCAGGGTCTCATGCATGCAAGGCAAGCACTCTATCACGGAGCCACCTTCCCAGCCCCTCTGCAGATTTTAAAAAGCAAGATGTCCGTGATCCTTTCTTATATCAAATACCGGGGGAGTCATTTTGAGACATGAGAGTTGTTGCCTCCTTCCCATGATTGCATTCATTCTGTAGACAAATGCAGAGAGCTGAAGCCGCTCTTCTCCCGTGCAGGGAGTGTGTCCACACTGAAATCGCTGAACTTGAGACACTGCCCTCTGGAATTCCCTCCTCAGCTGATTGTGCAGAAGGGCTTGCTAGCCATCCTGACCTTCCTACGGATGTGTGCGGTGGATCGCAGCTCTAAAGATGCAGCTCCTCCAGGTTTGAAGACAGTTGTTTACTGCCAGTTGCACAAAAACCAAAGTGAGAGGTTTTAGGATCAGGGCAGAGTGTGGTGGTGTCATGGAGATCCAACTCTTCCCTGCTGAGCTCATGTGGTAAACACAAGTCCCCAGGCCGGCCGGGTGTTTACGATGCAGTGTCTGTGTAAGGAAGAGGCGTGTGAGGGCTGTACAAGCACGTGAGACGCATGTACACAGCATCAGCTCTGACAGACAGGATGGCAGTATGGAAGACACTGGATGCCTCGAGCGGGGGTAGTTGATCCCATGAAAGGCCACGCTCTACCGCAGGAGTGAGGATCTGGACCTGTCCTGTGGAGGTCAGGTGCAGGGCCTTTGGACAGCCTCTGGGATCTTGTCATGCACCATCATTAAAGATACCATGACAGACCCAATGTAGGAACATTCTGGAAGCTAATCTGTGTTCTTACCTCCAAAGAGGAATCATTGAGGTCAGTTCCCAAGTGGAGGAAGTGTAGGGATAGAAAGGTCAGAGGGGGGAGATGACAGTGAGGTTCTCTGTTCACCCTGCCCCTTGGCTCCCACTAGCCTGGCGTGCCCACACCTGTCCTGGCCAGACCCTCCAGGCCACGGTTCTGAGTGTCTGCCTGTCCCTGAGCAGTTAATCAGCCCATGTCCCCAGTAGGGGGAGAGACACTCCACAGCTCGAGACCGTGATGAATGTGCTGTGGCCTTTGTTGCCTCATAGTTTACATAGCTCTGAGGTCTCCAGTAGCTAACAAAGCAGGCCCAAAGCAGTATCTTACACCTATAATCCCAGCTACTCAGGAGGTCGAGAATGGGAAGAGCGTAGTTTGAGGTCAAACGAGGCAACGTTAGTGACACCTGCTGCCAACGTGAGCCCAGGTGCAATCCCTGTGCCTGTGTTCCCAGCCACACAGCAGACATAGGTGCGAAGATCGCATGGACCAAGACCTGGGAGGCCCTACCTGACAGACACATGGACCAAGTGGAGGAGCACCTTGAGTTCAAGCCCCAGAGACAAAGCCCCAGGGACAGCAGGCAAAGTAGCCAGCAACTAGCCAGGAAAAAAGATTCAGGAGATGGGGTCAGGGGGAGACACAGACATGTTGTGAATGTGGCCTGCTGGCCGCATTGATTCCTGCAGAAGGTTACCCCAAATGGAAGAGCTGTGTGAGGAGGCCAAGCCTTCAAGCACTGTGTCTGTGCCCTGCCTGGTGTGTGGCAGCCTCCAGGGCCCGGGGTGGGGTGCTGCCCCCTGCACACCCCTCCCCTGGAGGACCGGGATGGACAGTGCCACCTCAGCACCTTGCTAAAGGACAGGCGTCGGGTTGATGGGTTGGTCTTGGGCTCAGACGATGTTTACTCCACCAGAGGCCGCACCGGTTAAGAAGACAGGCCTCAGTGAGCTCCCAGCCCTCGGAGTGGCCCCACCCCAGGACCCCGCGTCTGCCAAACAAGCCGTCAGTCTGCCCGAGGCCGTGCAGAAGGAGAAGGATAGCTTCCTCCCACCTGTTGACAGGCAGGACCAGGACCGAGTGTCCCTACACTCCTTAGAACACTGGCCAAGCAAGGAGGAGATCCGGCGCTTCTGGAAGCTGAGGCAGGAGATTGTGGAGAACGGAAAAGCCAATCTTGCTGGGAGCCAGCTCCTGCCAGTCGAGCTGCCTCCCAACATCCAGGCGACTCTGAAGACCAAGGAGAGGGACTACCCACCGCCCAGGGATGTGCTCAGGTAGGACACACGGGCCTTGGCAGAGTCGTAATTATCTTAGAACCCAAGGTCCGAGTTGAAGCTGCTCCTGCTTGGGCTTAGCATGGCAGCAGACCAGAGAACAGGTCCAACAGAGACCACTGGGAGAGGCATCGCGTGGGCAGTGTGTGGAAAGCACACGCATCCAGTGCGTCTGCGCGGGAGGGGAAGGCGGGTAGGTCTCTGTAACTAGTATGGGAGAGAAGGAGAATGTTGCCACATGATGAGCTGGCTCGCACCCTCTCGGGGGGAGTGTCGTGAGGTCCCTGGGGATCGCAGCAGTGTCCGGGGAGGCGGAGATCTCAGAAGCGGCCGGGCACATCCTCGCACTCAGGGCGGCAGGAGCAGCGCCGCAGCCACCTCCGGTGGGCGATGTCAGGAGGTCACTGCGTGGGGAAGGCCGAGGGGCAGGCGGTAAGAAGGCAGGCCGAGAGCGTGGCCAGCCCACGTTCAAGGCATCACTGACAGGTTACAGCCTAGTGACCACTCTCAGAGCCTTCCGTGGGCTTCCGGCACCCGTGTGGCTCTCAGGGAGCAAAGTCACCTGCCCGGCGTGCAGGAACACGCCAGCCTCCCATCTCCCTCCCCCCGTGATGCACAGTAATGGCGGCTGACTTGAGTCAACTGCAGTTAGCTCAGTAGCAGCACTTACCAGGCTGTCGCCCTGCCCAAGTCACGGTGGAGACCCGGGCCGCCAAGGCTGGCGGGGTGGGGCAGCCAGGCCCCAGGGCTGCAGCCTGCAGTGATTTAAGGAGGTCTTTTCCTGTGGCCTTGCAGGGCAGCAGCTGACGGGCTGTTCAGGGTGTGGTGTCCTGCCAGTCTGCCCAGGATGGCACTGCTTTCTGAATTAACACAAATACAATGGCTTTGGATGGGAAGCGAGTCACAATCACTGTGCAGCTGACCCACCAGCCTTGCTGTTAAATTGTTGATTAATCGGTCACATGAAAACACGGGGCCCTTATGGGGTCTCCCAAAGAAATCACGTAAGAACACCCTGTGCGCTCAGGAGTACTCACTTGCGAACGTTTTGATTTGAGGAGGAAGACTGCCCCCTTCAAGAGCATCTTCCCGGCCCTCACATCACATTACCAAGCGGCCATGGGAGGGAGAAGACTGGAGGAGAGCCGCGTGTTCAGGGAGGTCCAGGAAAAGCAGACCCTGGCGGAGCAGCGGAGAAGGTGCATCTGCGGGGGGGGGGG